TCACTGGGATTTGAACTCTAGACCTGCCACTTGGGGGTTGACAACCTATCCACTTCACTAGGTCACCACACCCCTTAGCCAAAAATAAGATCTAATTCTCATCTGTTTAAAAAGATTAGTATAGTAATACCTTTTCAAAACCAGATAAAATCAACTTTTTAATAAGCTAATTTTTTTAAACAAACAAGAATTAGATTTTATTTTTGGCTATGGAGTCCTACAACTTTAATGAACCCCTCTATATGTTTTTTTTTTACTTTATTATAGTTGAGTTTCATTTTTTTATTAGTACTCTAAACTGTATAAATAATATAAAATTAAATTGAATTTATTAACCAATTAGACAAACTTCTGTTTATGAATATGAATTACTGTTATTACAAAATTCAACATGTATATATCGCTAAATCTAACTATATTATCAGTTTATAGTAGGTTAGTATTTAATTCATACAAATATTTTTAATTTAGTTAATATAAATTAATTAATTGTTTTTCATATTCTGAGTGGATTAGATTTATAATATTTGCAGATTAATAAAATTTAATCTTAGTATATATAATAATTTAAAGTAGCTTTCGTATAAGTGTTCAAGACACTTAATTTAAGAAAAAAAAACTTTTATACTAAATTTTTAATATAAAAATCTAATTTCATCAAATTGCAATAATATTTTTACATTCTTTATTGAAGTAAAAACATAAAATACCAAGTTGATTTAGATTCATTACATAAGAAGCAATTAACTAATTTGTTGCAAATAGATTAGTCATAATTTTCCTTAAATTTTTTCTAAGAGATCCATTGTTTAACCATTGATTACCTAATACCCATTTGGTTTAATTTCTTTCAAAGCCTGATGTAAGTTGTGTAGATGTTTTTTATTTGACCTTTTTGATTGTGCAGGCATAATGAATCGGCTTGGTTCTTCTTGCTATTTGATTTCATATATATCATTTTCATTATTTTTCTTTGGTCTTCTTTGTGCCATTTTCTTGAGTTTACAACTTGATCCTTTCTTATGTTTTGAGGTTGTGGCAACTTGTACCTTAATTCTCTTCCCTTCACATTGGTAATCAGTACTATTAATTTGACTTGAATTCCAATTACATGTTTCAAAGAAAGAAGTTATTGTCAGGCAAACATGTGTGTCTTGTATGAAATATCGTTTTTTGTACATATCAACAAATTTGCACACATTTTTTTTTAGTACAGGGTCATCTTCTTTAAGAAGATTTTTCAAATCATTGATAAACCAATGTAATTCATTTATAACCAACTGATGGTAATCAACATTACTCTTTTTTTCATTTATGTTATTAATATTACTCTTACCATCATTTTTTCTTTCATTTATATTGTAATTGATATCACTCTCACTATCACTCAAGGGCATATATATAGATTCAGGAAGTGTTCTTTCATTGTTTATATAATTGCTTTCATTTTCATAATCAACATAATTAACTAAATTATTGTCAATATTTATCATAGGTTCTACTACTATGTGCATGAAATCTTGATTATGTTGTGCTTGATAAAGATCAGCATAGAAGTTAAGCTCCTTACACTTTTCACCCAATGCCAAATAAGCATAATAGTGTCAACTGTTCACTGACATTATAGATATCTGGTTCAGACTGCATATGTTATAATGGATTGCTATTGAGGACTGGTGTTTGCATGGAGCTTCTGTTAGGCTACATTTACAAATTCTAAGTCACATATCGACAAGATACCATACATCCTTATTAATGCTGCTTCTATGTCTAAAAATCAGTAAATTAGAGTTTACTACTTCAATGTTATCCTTTGATCCAATATTTCAGCCTGAGAGTCGAAAATGAAGAAAGATAAATCCACTCAGTTTATTGTGAGCTATGGCAAGTAATTTACAAATATAGTAAAGGTTCATTATACTAATAATAAAATGAAAAATTTGTATTATATTAAATGCTTGTACTTACCCAAAAACAATATCCTTAATGATCTGAATTTCCACCTCTGCAAAGTTATTTGTATTATTATTTCAGATTGGCAAGTTTTGACAAAACATAACAGCCCACTCTTTATGTCATTTCCATGCAGTTTCAAAATATTTTTGAAATTTTGGATATTTAAGATACATTTCACTTATCATAAGTTCTATATATTCTTTCTCTAGCATAATCTCAGTCTTTGCGAAAATGATCTTTTTTAGATGTTCAATGAGAGTAACATGATCAGCCATATGAATACTATGTTTTCTGTCCCACAACCATTTCCATGCAGCTTACAAAAAATAGAAAACACATAACAACAAAGTTGCCTTTTCCCAAGTATAGCTTAGTGCTTTTCTTTTTGTAGCACAATCATCAGTCATAATAACTTGCAGCCTAACTGTAGGACCACGTCTCCCAAATGCATCTGATGACATTATATTCTTTAGTATATCTAAAGCTTTGATGAAAGTTTGTATTGTCTTATCTGATGTAAGTATTACAGCTAAAGGTAAGCCACCAACTGGCATGCTTGTTGAAATGATAGTTAATGGTGTATTAAGGGTGTTAAGACTAGCCATTGTGTCTATATATACTAGTTTACTAACTTGTTGCAAAGTGTGACAATGTTTCATTAAATCAGTTAAAATTATAAAAATAAATAGTTGTCTAGAATCGGATTCTGTTGGAGCAATATAAGATTGCATCCAGACACTTCTTTTTTTGCTATCATTAAACTTCATAACTTCTTCAGCCAAACGATTAAACATTTCTTTTCCATTTTTTGTGCTGATAGACTTGTTGAGGAACATTTGATAAAGGTAATAAATATCTTGTTTGTTTGGACAAGTTGTTCGATCTGCTAAAATTTCCTCATCATTTTCATACTTCAGCTGAATCTCTTCCAAATATGTATAATGTGCACTTGCAGGACTATGCCTGACATGAAAAAGCTCAAAGAATGCTTCTTTTGTTTTACTAGATATAGAACAGAAGCTCATAACATAACTTGATAAAAGAGAATGATTGTGATGAAATAACAAAGACACTATGCATGAATGAGTATCTAGTTTGTTCTGTACTTATATACTGAGTATTGCTGGACAATTTGTGTCTCTCATATGTGTACTAGTTGTTTTTTTTTTGTTAACACTTAAATTATCAATTTTTTTTCCTTATTTTAGCTTTATCATATAACTATATATGCAGTAAAAGCATTTAGAAAGAAGAAGACGAACATTTTTAATAATTCTTTCTTGAGTTTCTTGCATGGTCACTTTATGCAAATTTATGAACTCATCAAGCCATGTCTTGGCATCATTAACTGTACAAATATTTATGTGAAATTTTGCTGTAAATAGTTCTGCATGAGTACCCAAAAAATTATGAGGTTGAGCCACTTTAAATAAATCGATAATATAATTATAGCTTTGAGGTAAAGTTTTTTGTAAAACTGTAAGTGATGTTTGTGTGATATTAAGATCATAAGATACTTCAATATTTGATATATTTGTTTTATTTGTATTTAATATTAGGTCGAGCTTCATTATTACAAGAAAATTTTATAGAAAATGCATCTCAAACTGGGTTCTATTTTAATGTCTATTGTTAGTAAAAGAGTAATATTAACAAATATTACTGTATTTCTTTTAAATATTTGAAGCATAGGAAAAAAATGTAATTATGATTTAATTGTGTAAGTTTGAGTTTTAAACTTTGTTGACCTATATTAAAAGTAACCTTTATAATTATGTATTATAAAAATATGTAAGAGCATTGAAAATTCAAGATAAGTGTATATTGAAGTCTTTTATTAGAAAAATTCAAGCATGATTAATGTGCATTATTTATTATTTTTTACAGGTAAATTTTTAGTAATATATGAACAAATATTATATTTTTATTAAATTAAGTGTCTATTTTACATACTAATTTATTCTATATAAATTAATTTTTATCTATTCATTAGGGCTGTTAATCAGTCTGTCCAGTCTGTCTTAGTTCAAAGACCTTGTAGTTTTTTAAAAAGTTAGACCAGACTAAACCCAAGACTATTTTAAGACTGATCATATTTAGACCAGCTGGACTGATTAATAAATCAATTAAATTATACTAAAATTTTTATTATATTTAATCTCAGAGAATTTTTAATTATACTATATATTGCATGTATTAAAATATATACTTATACAAACAGAGGAATATTGTGCAAAGAGTAGTACTTCAGGTTTTATTTCAGGTATAATAAAATATTTAATAAAATAAAATATTCCTATAATTGGTTATATTGTTATCTAGTTGATATGTCTATTTTAAGAGGCAAATCTAGTTTAACCTACCATGTTTTTGTGAAGTTATAACAAAGTCATAACTAAATCAAGACCTTCACGATCATGCAACCTGGTTCTCTCTTAAACATATTTAGCTCTTATAATCTGCAGTGTACAATAATAAGGAAAACTCTAAAAAAATGATAATTATGATGATGATTTGATAAGGTTTGTAGATGATACATCATCAGGACAAAGGTAAATCTTTATAAAAAGGAAATAGTAAATAAATAAAATCACCAACATTAGGTTTTGGTTAATAGTAATTTTTCTGTTGTTTTCATATAGACAAAAATCTCTAATTTTACATTTTATTTAACTTGAATGATAAGGTTAAATAAAATTTGAGCTAAACATACATACGATATAATATAATTAATAAGAATGAAACTGTAAGCTTATTTATGAATTAATTATGAATTTTTTACTCTGATCATAGTTTGAATATCAATTTATTATAAAAGATTGGTTTCGTAACCAACATCTAACTTGACCATTTTATTACATAAACTAGTTTTAATAAATACAGTATATTTTTGCTCATATATAAAAATAATAAAACTAGCTATAGTGCTATATTAGGACTGATGGTCTTTTAGTTCATTCTAAAAAAGACAGAACTGGCCTGGTCCTTAGACAGACTGTCAGTCTATTGGTTTTAGTCAGACCAATTAATAACTTTACTATTCATATTGTCTATATAGCTGACATAAAATTTTAATTCCCTAAGTTTTAAATTTAAATTATAAAATAAATGTAATGTTTGGATTCTGTCTTTGGCACTACTATGTACTATCAAAATTAAAAAATGAAAAAGTATGTTACATGGATTATAGTAGTAAATTTCTAATGATTTTCATCATGTAATTATAAACTGAGCACAAATTTTATTTTTGCACAGTGTGATGGAACGACAATTGTATAACTATAAGTTCCAAATAGAGCCAACTATCTTAGAAATAGTTACAATGGGAAAGCTGTGATGATTTGTCTGTTGGACTGGATCATTGGAAAGCCTGATGGTTCTTATTACAGAAGAATTTACTTGCAATTTTATTGATAATATGGAGCTTTAAAAAAAGGTGTTATAATATATTGCTCAAATATTACAAGCCCAAGCTAGTAATAACAATAAAAATAATAGTCATTCTTCAAAATATCAATGTACTAATTAAAAAAATGATAAATAAAAGAAATATTGATCATTTCCAACATATATTTTCATTTCTGCATGTATTATTTTTGCATTAAGGTAGTCAAGTATCTGTACTTAACTCAGTAATATTTTGCAATAAAGCTGACCCTTAAAGGGTCAATTTTGCATACATAATCATGGTTATTTTTGTATATATATATTTCATATTATATATTAATACCAATATATACTAACCTACATATGATTGAAAATTTAAAAATTAGAATAAACATATAATGTTTTTATTTTAAATATATTCACATTTTATGTAAAACAGTGGCAGATCTACAAATTTACAATTGCTTTGTTAAGAGAATTAAATACCAAGCTTACAGTCAAGATTAGTGAGCTTAGAATGAAGTATGCTAAGCTTAAAACTAAAAATATTGAAGTCAATGTTGAGATTCAAAATTAAAACAAATTTTAAAAGATTATGAAGCTAGGATCATGAATCTAAAGCATAAAAATGAAGTAAAGACTATTCATATTGCAAAATTAGATAATAAAATTAAGTAAATTAAACAATCTTCAACTAATACCATTTCTATTGAGAATTCTTACAATACTTCTAAACAATGCCAACCTATTTACATAAAAACCAAGTTATTGGAAGATAAAGAGACAGATAATTTCTTGAATAGAGCATATTCAACCATGCAATCAAAATTTCTAAGATTGCACAGTCCTAAAAATCTGATATATCTTGACTTCATAGAACTAGTATGATAGAAATATCTTAACATTTGGTCCAATTATGTGATCAAGCATTTATTGCAGAAGAGTGTATATTGAAAACAAATCAAGATGAAATATTTTACTGATATTATTATGAAAGAAACTTTGTGTTTTAGAAGAAAACCTTATATTATAAAAATAAAATTGGTAAAAAGAAAGCAAAAGGCTAAATATGTAATAAAGTCATGAAGCAACTCAATATTCTTCATAAGAAAAGATCTCAAAATATATAATTACTACTTTCAAATATATCAAAAGATAGTTTGCATAAAAGGATTCAGAGAGCTTTGAAGATTTACAAATTGTTTAAAAAGGTGAAAATAGATAAAATTAAATATATTAGGACTAGTATTATGGCCTAAACTGAAACTTTTGGCTAGGTAAAACTTTTAAAACTTTTGAAATGTCTGAAACTAAGTAAACATCTGAAACTAGGTGAAATGTCTAAAACTGGACAAAATATTCAAACTGAATAAAATGTCTAAAATTGGACAAAATGTTCAAAACTGAACAAAATATCCAAAACTAGACAAAATATCTGAAACTAGATAAAATGTCTAAAACTGAATAAACTATTCAAAACTGAGTAAAATGTCTAAAACTAAGCAAAACTAGACAAAACTGAATGAAACTTGATCTTATCTTTACCAAAATCAGCATAATACATGATGTAAACTTTAATATAATTTCTAAAGTCATATAATTGCTGCACTTAAAATTGACTAATGAAATTTCTAAAAATTCCAATAATCAATTTTTAGAACAGCAGATATATGATACAGACTTTGATATAATGATTTCTAAAAGTCACATGACTGCTGCACTTATTGGTTAATTTTAAGTACAATGGTAACATAACTTTTAGAAATTGTTATATCAAAGTCTGTATCATGTGTTATATTGATTTTGGTAAAGATAAGGTCAAGTTTTGTCTAGTTTCTCCTAGTTTCAGATGTTTTATCTAGTTTTGAATGTTTCATTTAGTTTTAGATGTTTTGTCTAGTTTTGAATATTATGTTCAGTTTTAGATATTTTATTCAGTTTTAAACATTTTACTCAGTTTTAGATGTTTTATTCAGTTTTAGACATTTTGCTCAGTTTTGGATATTTTGTCTAGTTTCTGATGTTTCAGATTTTGGATAAAACTGAAACTCAAAATCTGAAATGTTTCAGACTTCGGTAAAGGGTTTAGACTATAACACTAATTAGAATATATAGTGTAAATGAAATATCAAAGTTTACTAATAATGAAATCTTGCTAATTATAAATTATTTCTTACATAAGTTCAATATGGATTTTACAGATAAAAGATAATTCTATTAATGGTTTATCTGATTATACTAATATACTGAAGATGCAAATAAGGAAACAAAGTTTGAATTTAGCTAAAATAAACATCACATCTACATCTACTGAACCTATCAAATCTGTGATAAATATCTTAATCTACCTATTGTCTTGTCTCAAACATCTGTTTCTAACACTTCTAATAAAAAATTACTTGATAAAAAAATTACCACATCTCAAACAAGTATATCATTCTAATCTCAGATAAATGCACCTAACAAAACCCAATATCTTATCTTTATTTTATCTGTTGATCCAGAAGAGAAGTGAAAAACATTATTAACAAAATGCTAGAGCAGTTCCCTTATTTATTTTTAAATTATTTTACTTGTTCAAAGATATGTCCTATATGTAATAAAGATTATAAGAAAAAAATATAAAAAATAATATATAGGGTTTATGAGGTAGTAGTGATTATATCAATACAAAAATTTATTGTATCAAATGTTATAAGAATTATTAAAATTTAATCCAAATAGTAATTGTAAAACATAAGCCTGCCTTCTTATTCTTTGAACTTGAAGTCAGATTATAAATACTGTGATAATTTATTTTTCAAAATATATAAACTAATTATAAATAAATAAGTGAGTAAATTGTTAGAAAAACTAGATATAATTTTATTATCTTTACTAATTAATAATTGCAAATTACATTATAAAAATTACATAAAAGTAAAATATAGAAAGACTACATGACTCTTTTTTTATTTAATAAAACTTTTTTTCTAATTATGCATTAAGGATCATAATTATGAACCAAATATATGAGTTGTTCTCAATTAAAACAGCTCATATTTATAAGCATAATGAAAAGCCCTTTTGATTAGCTAATATAATACAATTATAATATAGATCATTACACAAATATTTAAAGTACTCTCTATATAAGAATACAATCACTTATATAACAAATAATTTTCAAATAATACTGGTCTTT